CAGATAGTCTTTACGGCCATTGGAAATAAAGGCGGGTTGTCGTTAATGTCCTTCACCTCCACCTCCACGTGGAAAACCTGCAGCGGCTGCTCCACAATCACCTCCAGGTGGATGCCGCACGCCGCGCTCCGCCCGCACAGCTCCTCGCGGTCGATCCGAGAATTCACAAACAAAATGCCATTCTGCAGATTCACCTCCAGAAGGTCCCCGCGGCCCTTGGACGCGACGCGGAACAGGCGCGGCACCAGCTCCGCCAGCTCCAGTCCCAGGTCCTGCGCGATGCGGCCCACGAAGGTGCCGTGCTTGGCCTCCTCGGGGACGGAGTAGTGGAGCTGCCCGCTGCCTTCCTCCCAGGCTGCGAGCAGCAGCAGCAAGAGCAGCAGTCGCCGTATTTCTCGGCCTCCTCTCATAGAAAACACCATTACCAACCTTCAGTGAGATGATCAAATTAGAAAATCATATTTTGCAAACATATAAATATATCTTCTATTCTACGCTCAAGTCCTGCTGCTTCGCTTGCTCCTCTTCTCTGGAGTGACAAAGGGGTTCCTGGTATTTTCCCTGTGCAGGGAGCCACTCTGTGGTACACAGCGACACCATGTGGCTAAAAGACCGGCTCCACTGCTCTTAGTCTGGATTTTAAATGAAACAATTTTCTGGTCTACGTTTATTCATCCCTTCTGTTTAGGAAAAGGGAGAAAGACGGGGCTTTCTATTCCCGTAAACAGTTACAGTGGAAACTCAGAGGGGTAATTCTGCCTGTCCTAAAGCTTCAGAATGAGTCGACATCAACTCGATGGTACTGAGTGAGAAATTCGGAGGAAAGTACCTATTTTACACTGTTTGATTTAGTATTACCTTTCTGTTGCCATTCGTTCAAATGAGGTGCATACCAGAGTATTTTTCATAAACTGAAGACATATTTGAGTATACCTTAAGTGTTTTTTGTGCGTTAATTTTTTAAACATGTATCTTGAATTAATGTATTTTATTCTCATTTGTATAATGCACTTTTAATTTAGGATTATTTTCTTCTCTATTTTAATTTGGGTTTCGTGTAAGAGCAATATAATTGACCTCTTTTTAATGATTTGATAATATAGTGTCTAATTTTAACTGTCCCCTTAACACACACACAAATAAAATAAAATAAGGATACTGGGATAAATAAGGGGAACCCAAAGGTGGAGTCAATATACAAAATCCATACTAAAATGCTCATCATTAATTACTTTAAGTGGGTTGTAAATTTTGTTTTTAACTTTTGAGAGAATAGAGTACAACAAAATTAACCACAAGATTCAGTGTCCATAAAAGAAAAGCAATATACCTCCTCAAAGGAAATGAGCTTTTCTTGGTACTAATACTAATTTCTCCTTTAATCTAATCTCTAGATACTTACACCACCTATGGAAATGTATATTTATATTAATCATTACTGAAACAATGAACCTCAACTAAACTGGCTTAAGTAATGATTCATTGGCTTATACATTGGCTTATTTATTGGAACTATGGTTTTAAATATGCCATAGGAAAACATACTGTGTCTATTATTTCTTTGCCCATGAGATGGCAAAATAGCCGTTAGGCCTATATATGACCAGAATAGGAATATAGAAAAAATGAATTTGTTTTTCTTAATAATCTAGTAAAAATTCTAGATATTATGTTATTTGACTCAAGTTGGATGGTGCGTCTTTCCATTAATAGTTCTGATAGCTCCCACATTGGCAAGACAGATTCAGGTGGTCGCACTAGAAGATGGAATCAGCCCTACCTAAAATACGTGCACAGAGAATGGGTAGCTTGGTTTTTGTGAAGTTGAGGGGAAAGTGTCATCCACCCAAATTCTCCTAGAGATTGTACTGATTTTACAGTTACACGTTGGCTAGTACATCATTACATAGGTGCAAAGTAGCCAATATAACAGAACAACAGTGTTGAGATAGTATTATACACAGAATCCAAGTGCTTCATCCAGGAAACAGGCATGAGGCAGGGTTTTTTTTTCTTCTTTTCATTGTATAAGGTTTGTTTTTGCAAGATTTTCAGGATTACATGTTTGAAATGTTAAATATTGTGCAGAAACTTTGTATTGTCGCCCCAACCCAAATAGATAGAGTGTCATTGTTATCATGTTTTCCCCAGTGGGACAAAGAGACTAAGAAGCCAAGTTCAACAAATAGCTACTCCCAAGTTGACATCTCTTAATATCCAAATGCTAAAATTATACCCCTTTGCATTTATTTAAGCAACCCATCAATCCCATACAGTGTATGTGCCCAAGCATTCATTATTGCAAAGTCTTCATCCCAGTGTTTCAAAAATTACCATAAAGTCCCCCCCAAAATTAAAATGTTGCTACCTGAGAGGCAAGAAAAGAGAAGGGATTGCTATATCTTTGTCAGTTTGCTATTTTTCTTCTATATTTTATATAAGAAGATATCACAACACAATATTTTCCCATGGAATCATGTAATTTAATCAGCTTACTTGTCAATTATTGTAGTAAAAATGTCAATAATGCCCTCCTCTGAGTGGTAGTAGGAGTTACTGAATGGTGCAAATGACTAAGTGCTTGACTACTAACCCAAAGGGAGGCAGTTCAAGCACACCCAGTGGTGCCTCAGAAGACAGGTCTGGCAAATTGTTTCCAAGAGATCACAGCCTTGGAACCCCTGTGGAGCAATTCTATTCTATACACATAATATTTTGTTTGTTGGAATTGACTCAATGGTAACTGACAACAACAATAATCAGTTGCATTACCTGGTGCAATGCACCAGAATTTATCCTGCTCATATTCAGTTTGGAAGTGCTGAACCCCAATAAGTGTTTCTGTGCACTGAATATTTCAGATTTTCTTCTAAAATATTCACAGATTTATCTTGTGCTCCTATGACATCCCTGCAATTATGGGAAAACCCCTACGCCAGCTTTTCTCACATGCTGGATCAGCATCCCGGACTGCTTTGCTCTTATAGCTTCTCAATATCAACTGGTGCTTCCATAATGGCTGTAACCAGAAAATACATCTGAAAGTGTTTCACTGGAAGTGACATAAGTGATACATGTTATTCCACTTATTGGCCAAAGAAAATTGCATAGCAAAGCAACAGGGAAATACATTCTTTCTGTGTTTTGGGAGAACTGAAATATTGGCAAACAGCACCAGTGGCTACCAAAATACGCAGGTGCTTCTCACTCATTTATTTGCATTCTCAACTGATCATAAGTCTTAAAGGTGCCTCAAATAATACTTTACTTTTTGAGTTATTTTTTGTTATACCAAAATTAAAATATATATACATTATTTAAAAACGGATTTTTTTCGGGGAAAAAATAGAACATAGCAAGAAATAAATGTCTTGTTGGGTGCTCTCCTTTTTATTTCAGTCAAAAGAAAAGAAAGTATCTTCCTATAGATGAAATTGCATTGTATCATCATAAAATATTGGGAAATAGTCTTGATGGAACTAAAAGGAATTACTGAAGTGGAATAATACAAAAAATAATGTATGCTTTACTGAAAACAATGATGCAGTTGTAAATTGGAGCTTCAATCATGTCAGTCAAATCATTATTATGTTATTCTTCATTTAGTTCTTTTATATGCTTTTTAATGTTAACTAAAATAGTCCAATTGCATAATCTGATAATAAATTCTCAATATATCTAACCTAACCTTTTTAGGGCATGGTTGTTATGAGGCCAATAGAGCTCCTAGATGAACCAGTCAGGATGCAGTGTAGCAAGGATGAGACATACAACTCTCCTCTAATTCTTAAATGCTTCCACCCCCTTCCCCCCCACTATCATGATCCCAATTCTACCTTACAAATCTGGCTAGACCAGAGGATGTACACTAATACAGAGAGGAACTGGAAACACAGGGAATCCAGCACAGATAACCCTCTCAGGACCAGTGGTGAGAGTGGCGATACTGGGAGGGTGTCTGGAAGGTGGAGTGGAAAGGGGGAACGGATCACAAGGATCTACATATAACCCCCTCCCAGGGGGATGGACAACAGAAAAGTGGGTGAAGGGAGACGTTGGACAGTGAAAGACATGACGAAATAATAATAATTTATAAATTATCAAGGGTTCAAGCGGGAGGGGGCAGGTAGGGAGGGGAAAACGAGGAGCTGATACCAAGGGCTCAAATAGAAAGCAAATGTTTTGAGAATGATGATGGCAACAAATGTACAAATGTGCTTGACACAATGAATGGATGTATGGATTGTGATAAGAATTGTACAAGTCCCCAATAAAATGATTTAAAACAAAATAGAGCTCCTAAATGAATGACTAACCTAGATTGTAAGTACATTGTGAAATTAACACTAAGAAATATAATTTGCCAAAAATGAAATATAATTTGCCTGAAACGACATTACTTTAAAAAACGAATACTAAATTACTGAATGAATTAGAAGAAAGCAACCAGTTCACCTTATAAAGAAGACAAGTAATATAATGCATTTCCCAGAAGAAGTCTTGTAACCAAAGATAACACAATTGAGGCTGCATCAATTACCAGAAGATTCTGAATGGGACAAGAAATACTGATAGGGAATTCACTCGCATTTACATTAAAATAAATAACTTGGAATAGAACATAAAACTCCTCAATAATCTTTTCCCCATCCTGGAAGCATTTTATCATTTTTCAAAAATGCTTTTCAACCTTTGTAACCCTAACCTTCCTCTTTGGGTTTCAAAAGTGATTAATGTTTGGATTTACCTCCAAGTAACTATCTCCAATTAATACAGAAAATTTTGAACTTTCACAACACAGAAAGAATTTTTTGGTTGTTCTCAAATTCATAGTGCCCAATCTAAAATCCCTGTCCCCCACCCCACCCCACCCCAGTAATCCCAATTCAGTAGTGTATGAAGGCATGGCTTGAATGCCTTCAGGCAAAATTTTAAAGGCTGTTGCTAGTAATGGAAAGATGCTTAATTCCATTAATAATCTAACAGTTAACCTTTGATGGCAGTGCTGTTAGATTACAGCCTTTGTAACCTATATAAACTCGTAAAGAAGCCAGTTTTGCATCTGGTTTCAAATGTAAACCTCTATTTAAAACAGAAAATAATATGTTTTTCAATACAATTCATGAAGTTACGTTTGGCCATTAAACATCACGTACTTTATTCTTCTCAAATGTTTTATTTGTTGCTTAAAAGGCATTTTTCAGCAACTTGGTTTTAGTTCTCTTGCACTGAGATAATGAGAACAGATTATTTTATGAGTACTGTTTGCTTAAAGGAATGGTGCAATTGGTTTTGTTTTCCTTTAAACTTTTAAATAGCTTTCACATTTTGCTGCATATCTTTTAGTTACAAATACAGTAAGATCTTCCTTTATCTACATTTAGGCTATACCAAACAAGAATTGTAGAGGGGAAAATATAAGCTTATTTTTTTCCTGAGTCAGGAACTCATTCATAAAATGGGACTAAGTATATACTAAATCATTAAAAGAAATGAATGAAGTGAAAATGAAGAGTTTGAAAACATATTGAATAAATAGGAAGTGCAATAACAGCTTCCTCACTGCATCTCCCAAATAACAATTTCATGCACGATTAAGCCTCCCAGACCCAGGTAAAGTCAAGGACAAAGGAATCAAGAAATTGTCCATAATGACAATGAAAGTCGTGGTTGTATGTTTTAACGTGGAAATAAAAATTAACCAACATTTATACTTAAAATTACACTTAAAACTGTTTTTTATTTTTTACTTTAAAAATTATCAACCCTAATAAAAGGTAGGTGGTTCCTGTAATTTTACTTATTTATCCAGAGTTTAAATTTTTACTAGGAGATATAAGTAAAACAGCAAACCAAACTCACTGCCCTTGAGTCGATGCCAACTCACAGTGAAACTTCAGGACAAAGGGGAACTAGCTCTGTGGCTTTCCGAGACTGTACCTGTTTATAGAAGTTGAAAATCTCGTCTTTCTCTCGTGCAGTGGCTGGTAGTTTTGAACTGCTGACCTTGCAGATTGCAACTCAATACGTAGCCACTACGCATCCAGGGCTCCTCTTTCTATATAGGTAATATTATCTCAGGAGTTATCTCTTGGGCTGCTAACCACAAGGTCAGCGGTTAGAAGGTGAGGCTTTCTATCCCGGGAAAGATTGAAGTCTCAGAATCCCAAAGGGGCAGTTCCACCCTGTCCTATGGGGTCGCTGGAGTTGGAACTAAGTAGATGACAGAGTTTAGTTTTAAGCTTGTAATCTATATGCTGGCCACGCCTAGATCCTATGCTAATTATGAAAATCAAGTAGCATGATAATATGTCCCTACTTTTTGTGTTTGTTTTTAAATTCCATTTAAGAAACAGCTTCAGGCAATACAATAAACACTGATAGTAAATGGTCTGATTTGATCAACATTAGCAGACATTTAAATAAATGTTTAAATATTACTTGAATATATGCATGTTCTTAAATAAGTTATATAAAATCGCCAAAATAAGACTTACATTACCGGAAAGATCCGAATTTCCTTCTGTATGTTCATTTCTTTCTGCCACGTTCCCACCGGGAGGGAGGCTGGGGCTGAAGGCCATGAGGTCGGTCTTGGGCGGCCCCTCCCCAGAGCACACCCGCGGCCGCCTCTGCTGCGACGACGACCAGCTGCCCACCCCGCTCGAGCACACCAGCGCCGGCTTCCCCGGCCCGCACGCGCCCCCTGCGGCCGGCGTCGAGCAGCGCAGCGCCGTGTACAGCAGCAGCGTGAGCACCAGCAGGCTGGACACTGCGCAGATGGCGATGATCAGGTACACGTTCACGTCCACCAGCGCCGCCGCGCCGCCCGCCGCGCCCGCCGCCGCCGCCGCCGCCGCGCGCGAAGACGTCTTCAGCGCCTGGCCGTTCTCCACCAGCGACACCAGCACGGTGGCCGTGGCCGCCAGCGGAGGCTCGCCGTGGTCTCGG